ACATTTTGGCTTTACCTTCTCAAAGAAAATATACCTTTATTTTTGGAAAATTTTCTCAATATTCTCTGCCCTAATGAAAAAGTAGTCAAAACTTTGTCAAATTTTTTTAGCTCTTGATCACCACCTATTTGAAAAAAATTGATAAACTTTAACGTTGATGATTCTCAAAATTGAAAATTCACATACTCCAATATAAAATATATTCACTTAGAATTAATTAAATTCTAATAAATCCATTGATTGGTGGAAAATAAACTTACTAAACCCACTAGTAATAAAATATCATCTATAATGACAATTAGCTACATACAATGAAGATGTACTTACGTTTTTTTTAAGGGTAATTAGCATATAATGTCCCAACATTTTTTTATTATTGTGGAAAACTTCTCCACCTTTCATTTTTTGGCATTTTCATCCTTATTTCCACATTTCGTTGAGCAAAATGTCATTTTCATATATTTTCTCAATTAAAAATTGTGAAATGACAAATAAACCCTTCTCTTTAAATAAAAGAAAAAGAAAAAAATAATTGTAACCATACTCCCAAATTTTTTTTAAAAAGTGCAATGAGTCACAAATAAATTATAAAAAGGATAATTAGTACATAATCTTTTTATCTTTCACCGTTATTGTGAAAAACGTCTGTATCTTTCTTCTTCTTTTTTGACATTTTCACCATTAATTACACATTTGATTGTGCAAACCATCATTTTCATCATATTTCTCATTTTTTTTAATTTCTAATTCTTTAATAATTTATTTGGGACTCGTTTACACTTTTTAAAATTTTTTAATTTTTAAATAAATTTAAGTGGGACTCGTTTGCACTTTTTTAAAAAATTGGGACAATGGTTGCAATTAATTTTTTTAGCATTTTTATTTAAATATGAGGGTATATTCGTCATCCCACTATTTTTTATTGAGAAATTGGATGAAAATAGATAAAAATGATAGTTTGCACTATCAAATTATAATTAAGAGAGAAAATGCTAAAAAATGAAAGGTAATGACGTTTTCCACAATAACAATGGAAGGTGATGACGTTTTGTGCTAATTACCCAATTTGGTATTACTAAGCTTCTAAGGGAATGAAATGTGGTTACGCCGAATAAAATAATCAGTTCCAGGAAGTATCGGACAAATGTGGTAAAATTTAGTTTCAAAATTATTGTAGATTTTAAAAACAGCATTTGAATGTAATAATAAAAAAAAGTAATTTATTGTTGTAATTGTATGTGTACAATTATAAAAGTGTACATTAATTATAATTATGTTTTATCTTATTATTATTATTATTATTATTATTATTATTATTTGTAGACTTGTAGTATTGTAACATATATTTTTACTTTTATAATATGAAGTATATTATCAAATTATTTCTAAGACAATTTATTCACTATCAAAACTCAAAATTTATAAAACTACAAAATAAAATATAACCCATATAGTTGAAAAATACTCAAAATAATTATAAAACATATTTTATGCATCAAACTTGTTGCAATTCGATTTCTCAATTTCTTCATGTTCATTAAATAAAAAATTATCAAATAAATTTATATTGTCTTTAACGTGAACTATGGAATGAAAGAAGTTTACTTTAATTAATTAGGGTTAAAATTGGTATTATAATAATGGATAAATGGAAAAGCTAAAAGTAAATTATGACAACTTGAAATGTGTTATTAAAATTAAAATTTGACCATTTGAAAAGTTCGTAAAATAGTAGCACCTACTAAAATTTTTTCATACCATTTATATATATTTACCCCATCATAATTCCTTCAATCCTTTCATATATCTATCCTCACAATTTTTAAGAAAATCAAGAAAACTATAAATTGTAGAAAGTTTGAGTTCAATCCCAAAATGTTAACCTATTAAGTGGAGTAATACAATTGCTTTTGGTGTTACTTTGTTCGTACATTTTCAGCATAAACAACATATAAGACTTAGATTACTCTTCTT